TCTAGTGGTTGAGGTTGCGGTTGGGGTTTGGTTTTAGGGTTATCTAATTATTAGTGTTGTGCGTCTGTTGGCTATTGTATTTAGCTAGACCGCTGGGTTGATATTTAGTTGGGTATAGAGTAGTTGTTTTTCCATTCTTTTTTTTTTCTCTTTCCCCTTTTTTTTCTCTTCTTTTTAATTTTTGTTTTATCCCCTCTCCTTTTTCTCTCATTTTTCTTTTTCTATTTTTCCTGTCTTTTAGGGTTGGGCAAGTTTCCCTTTTACCTATTGATGCCTTTTTTTTATCTTTATTTCTGTTTTTTTTTTTGCCTCACTGCCCATCGGAGGTCTCTCATCACCCTTCCCCATCTCTATTACCCTTTGTTGTTTCTTTTGCTGCCTGGTCCTTAGTAGCGAGGGCGCCCCCCTCCTCCCGCCCCCGACCAGAAAGAAAAACTTTTTTTTTTTTCCCCTTTTCTTCCTTCCTTTTTTCCTCTTTTTTTTTCTCTTCTTTCTAGCCTGCTCTGAGGTTCTCGCGACCCGCCCCCAGAGGGAAACTCCAGGAGCGGGTGGGCGGCCCCTGTCTCCCGGGGTGAGAACTGGGACCCACCAGGGACCCCAGGTTTTAAGTGGGTGCCCCCCGCCGTGACCTCCTCCTTCTCTCTTTGTTTTCATTCCGTTTCGTTCTATTTTGTTTGGGGAAGGCCCCGGAGTCTCCCCCCTAATGGGTCCCTGTCTTTTTTTTTTTTTTCCACATTTCTTTCTCTTTTTTTTTCTTTCTATCCTGCTTAAAGGTACTCGCGACCCACCCCCAGAGGAACACTCCAAGGATGAGTGGGCGGCTCCTGGCTCCCGGGGAGGGCCGAGGAAGCCCAACCGGGGACACCCAGGTGTCAGGTGGATGCCCCCCGCCATGACCTTGTTTTCTCGGTACTTGTTTCTTTCCGTTCTCTTTGTGGGGGAGGCCCCGGAGTCTCCCCCCTAATTGTCCCTGTCTGTTTAAGTCGTTTCTTTTTCCTTTTTTTTTTCCTTTTTCCAGACATTCTTTTTCTTTTTTTTCCTTCCTTCTTCCCTCCCTTCTTTCCATGGGGGAGAGTTGGTAGGGTGCGCCCCTCACTTATTTTAGGGCCTATTGCCTTCTAAAGTTTCCGCCCTATCGGCCCGATGGGAGTCTCTATCTGGGCAGTTGGCTTCCCTTGTCTCTCGACCCTAATTTCCCCCTTTTTTTTTTTTCTTCGCCTACTTGTCCCAACCCTAATTTCCCCGTTTTTAGATGCTGTTGCTTATGAGTAAGGGAGTGCCAATAAGTTAGTTGGATAGGTGTCCCAAATAGTTTATGCAAGTTATAATTATGCTTTCTCAGTTATATTTGAATTGTATTTATATTGTTTGATTTACTTGATTTATAGTTTTGACAATTTCTTCTAAAATCTTGAATGCGTCTTGATGGCTTATTATTTGTGTTTTGTTTGAATCTGTGAGGCCTGTTGGGAAATATTTTAAGAATCTGTCTCTAAGGTTTTTTGAGATTGGACAATCTTCTAGATAGTGGTTAAAGTTTTTAGCTTTTTTTTTTCCTTTTTTTTTCTTTTTTTAGTTGGGATTCGTTATTTTGTTTATTTGCTGTACTAATGCTTCTAAAGTTTTCATTATTTCTTCGTCGCTTACAATGTCAGGTTTGGATTCGTTTGTTAGGCCGGCTGGGTGGGTTGTTTTAAATGTGTTGCTCAATTCCTGGGTTGTTGCGCAGTTATCTGTGTAGTGGTTAAGTGTTTCAGCCAGCTCCCCACAGATACATTTTGCGTCTTTGGTTTTGTTGATCTTTTTAAAGTAATATGGTAATTTTCCATGGTTGGTTAACAGCTGTGTTTGATGGTGGTTGGTTGGAAAATATTGTGGTATTTGGTGGATTGAAGGTATCCATGAGTGGAGTTCTATGTCTACCTCGCTCTGCGTCCAGGCCCTGTCCCATCTTTCTCGTGCGTCTTCCTCCATTTCTTTTTTTATGAACTTTTTCGATGTTTTGATTTCAATTGGTCTGCCAGTTTTTCTAGCTTCGTTGGCTAGTTTATCGGCTAGGTCATTTCCGTTGATGTTGGTGTGGCTTCTGACATGGTGCATGCTGAGTTTCTGTTTCTGAAGGAGTGTTTTAATTAGGTTTTTCGTTTCGTGGACGATGGGGTTCTGATTGTATGGGTTTGCTAAGGCTTTAAGTGAGGAGAGGCTATCCGAGAAGAGGGCGAATGTTGTGTTGTCGGGGAAACTTAGTGTTTCTTTTATTTCCTCTTGGATTGCAATCATTTCAGCATCAAATATCGTTGCGTAATTTGGTAGCTTTATCTTTTTCATTACTGTGACTGATTCATGCCTGTCCATTATAATGTAACTAGCCCCGGCTGATCCTTTTGCTATGGATCCATCCGTGTATATTTTGTACTGGGTTTGTTCTGGCGTTTCGTTGCTTGTCGCAAATGGTACTGCATACTGTTTTGCAGGATGGCTTTTCCATATATCTACTTGATGTTGTACCTTGTCCGCAGTGTATTCTTTTTCATTTATGGAGTAGTCTTCTTTGTTTTGAAAGACATAAAATGCGGCGACCTCTTTGTCTAGGGTTATATCAATTGGTTTTATATTTGTTAAGACATTGAGACAGTTGTTGCTTACTGTTCTGTATGCTTTTGTTATTCTTATCATGGGGATTCTTTGTACTGAGATGAGTTTCCTCAACAAATGCGAGTTTTTCATGTTTTTCCAGAATACGGGTGCCGCGTAAACTATTGATCTTTCTATTGATTTAATGTAAATGTCTCTAAATTGTTTTGGCTTGATACCCCATTTGAGGCCTGAAAACGCTGCGAGACTAGTCGTATTTTTATAAGTTTTTGACTTTAGGTAGTTGGCGTGTGGGATAAATGAAAGATTGCGGTCGAATATGACTCCTAGTATTTTTAGTTCCTCTGTGTGTTTTAGATTTTGGTCACCAAACTTGACTACAGGGTGCCTTTTTTTATAGTCTTTGCCTATTGTTAGGTATTGGCACTTTTGTTTGTTGAACTTTACTTCGTGTTCTTTACTCCATTTATTTACGATTTCAAGCATGGCGTTGGCTCTCTGTTCTAGTTCGCTTCTTGTGTTTCCTTTAATTATGATGGTGACGTCGTCCGCAAATGCCTGTATGTGTGCGTGATCAGGAAGTGGTATGTCCAATAAGTTAGTGATGAAAATGTTCCAAATTAGTGGACTTAGGGGGGATCCCTGTGGGCTCCCTATTGGGTTTTTTACTGTAATGTTTGCTGATACTGTTTCGTATTTGATTATTCTTTCACTTAGAACTGTCTGGAGGAGGGCGTAGAGATTCTTTGGTAACTTGTAGTCTTTCAGTTTTTTCAGCACATGTGGTATCCATATGGTGTTAAATGCGTTTGATATATCTAGGGATATTAGTAGGGATTTTTCTTTGGATGTTATGTTTTCTTTGAGGACTTCTTTTATCTTTAGAAGGGCTTTTGTTGCTGAAGTTCCATGCGTAAATCCGTACTGTTTGGGGTGTAGGAGTTGTTTTGAGTAGAGGTAGTAGTATATTCTGTTATTGAGAAGTTTTTCTAAGACTTCCGAGGATTGAATTTATGCATATTGGTCTGTATGATGATGTATCGCTAGGAGGTTTTGACGGTTTTGGGATTAGTATAGCTTTTGTTTCCTTCCAGCTGGGTGGGTAGTACCCGTATTTGAGGCATCCATTGAATATGTTAAGGATGAGATTGGCATGTTTGGTGCTGATTGCTTTTATTATTCCGGTTGTTAGGTTGTCGGGGCCGGTGGCTATTCTGTTTGGTATGTTTTTTATTGTGTTTTCTAACTCAATCTCTGAGAAAGGTATGTCGTTTTCTGTTTCTGGCGGTAGAGCTGTGCTGTCTCTAATCACTTTTTTTGAGTTAGAGTAGTTCTCCGGTGTATCAGGAGGGAAGTGGGGAGTGAGTATTGTTGTTATGGATTCCTCAAGGGATTTGGTTGACTCGCCGTTAGGTGTAATGATTGCTGGGATCACTATTGGTTTTTTCATTTTGTCAAAAGCTATTTTGTATGGTATGCCGACAATGTTTTTTCTTGTGGCTTCTGTGCAGAATTGTTGCCACGAGTCGTTTTTCGCTTTTTTTACATTGGTTTTGTACTTTTTTTGAGCCTGTAGGTAAACGCTTTTGTATGCCGGGCGCATTGTGCTGTTACATTGTTGGTATCTGCGCCGCATTGCTCTCGTTTGTTTCCTCTCCTTTTCCAGTTCTGGGCTCCACCATGGGTTTTGTTGGGTGGATTCCCTTACTCTCTGTACGTGCTTTTTGTAAAGGTTTTTAAGTTTTTCGATTAAGATATTTAGGATTTGTTCAAGGGCCTCTTTTGACTCTATTTGTCTATTTTTATTTTTCATTAGCCAGTCGTCGTTGGTTATTTCCTCGATGAATCTAATCTCGCCTTTTTTAGTTAACCTTTTCGTGTTGTTTTTGATTGTGTTAAAGAGTTTAATTTCTATATAATTATGGTCACTTTCCGTTATTTCATCGAGTATCTTCCATGAGTTAACCCTAGGAAGGAGGTTTTGACTTGCTATTGTTAGGTCGATCCAACTTCGTCCATTGGACGAGGTAAAAGTTGGAGCAGAGTCTTGGTCGTTTATCGGGTGTAGTTCATTACCTAGGATGTATTCCCCTAAAGTTTCCCCTCGCCTGTCCAATAGTTTCCCTCCCCAGGCTGGGTTTTTAGCATTAAAGTCCCCCAGAATTAGTAAGGGTACTGTCTCATACTTTTCGGAAATTGTCTTTATCTCCCTTATGGTCTCGTTGATGTCAGCGTTAGGTGGTGCGTATACATTGATTATAAGGAAGTCTTCGTCTTTAGTTTTTAGTCTTACTGCAGTGATGTCCCTCTCTGCCTTTTCAATGTGTATATCAAATTGTTTCTTGTGAATTACTATTGCTGTACGTGGTTTTTCCTTGCATTGTATTATTATATCTTTCATTGAGAATCCGATCACTTTGTTTTTGCTATAGTAGGGCTCTTGAACACAAGTTACATCATTTTCGAAAGTTTGAAGGTTGGTTTTTAGTTGTTCTGTCGCTGCATACGAGTGATTAAGACTTATTTGGATTATGTTAAGTGAGTTCTTTTCCTTTTTTTCCCTTTCCTTCTGATTGTTTTTCATTCCTGGTGTTTGGGGACTTGTCGTCCTCTTACCACTGTTGGTTTCGGTCTCTTGTGTCATTTTGTTGTGAGTATTCTTGGTGGCTCAACTTTGGGGTTTAATTATATTTTGTTCTGGCACGCACCTTGGCCTGTTCGGCGCCCAGACTCGGGCATCCCTGGTCGTAAAATGAGTGGTTCGTTTCGTACTTTGTGTGAAGTTTTTCGTTGTTATCAGTGCAGGCGGGGCACCTGTTTGGTAGGATGTAGCCCTCTGCGTCCTGTTCCCCGTCGCAGTGTGTGTAGTGGTGGGGGCCCGCGCACTCGGAACACCTCTCCACGCCCCGGCAGTTCTTGCTAGTGTGGCCGTACTTACAGCAGATTGTACATCTGTTAGTGTGTACGTTCTCCCTCATAGGGCAGTAGGTCCACCCTATGAGGAGTTTTTCCATGTGGTAGATTTGTTGGTAGATATCTGGGGTGACCTCAAGGATGTGCGTTTTTGTTTGGTCCCTTCTTTCAAATGTACGCATCAGTTTGATGTCATTACTGTTTCCCTCGATCTTGTTCTGTTCGGTTATTTTGATTTTTAGTTCCTCTTCCTCAATGTTCGGGTCAACTGCTGTTACCAAGATCTGGGGAAGTCGTTTTTCCGCTATTCTTGTCTCGAAATGCCCCGCTGTTTCTTTTTTTGTTTCTAGCAGTCTTTGTAGCCGTTCGAGTCCCTCCCGGTTAGTGCTTGTTACAATGGCGCCCTCCCTTATCTTGGTGCATGCAAAGTTGTCTAACCCGAGTTCATGCGGAGTGAAGGATCGGTTGAGAGTCTGTCTTACATGTTCGAAGGGCGCCTCCATCCTGGGGTCGCTGGGCCTGATGATGAGCCCCTCCATGGCTTCGGAGTTGGTGTCTGCGCTGAAGGGGGGTTGTCCGGCTGTGGTGGTTGGGTCCTTGTCGCTCTTGCCCCGGTTTGCTCCACCCTCGGGGTTGGTCTTTTGGGCTGGAGCCGTGGTTCGCAGGATATCTGCGTAGCTGGACTCTCCCCTGATCTCGGTTTCAGGTTTGCCTTCTTCGAGTTGTTTTTTTAGGTTTGTGTTTTCTGTTTTCAGGTGGTGGATCAGCTCTGAGAGTCCCTCAGCCCTGCCCTGATCAAAGGCGGCCTGCCTTATTTGTTCAATGGCCAGACCGACCAGGCGCTCACTCGCCTTGAGCATTTTTTGTGCGGCCTGTCTGTCACCACTCGCTAGGGTGGCCTCCATCACTGCTTCGACGAGCTCTGTTTGTAACTGTATAAGGCAGGCTGTATTGCCCTGCATGTAGTTTTCGTCTACCTCAACCATTTCTCTGCTTTGGGTTTGTTTTGTGCTGCCTTTGTGTCTCTTTGAGGGCCTCTGGCCTCCCCTCCCCTCTCCCCCACTTTCGTACTCGAACTCGAAGTCCTCATCGCTGGCACCACCTAGTTCGGAAAGTGGTACCGGATTCTTTTTTTTTACTTGTTGTGTTCTGTTTTTGTCTTTCTTTGTTTCCTTTGTTTTGGTCTTTTTTTTCTTCTTTGATTTCTGTCTCTTCAAAGAATCCGTTTTCGTTTTCAAACTCGTCTGACTGGCTCGTCGCCATCTTTACTTCTCTTGGTTTACGTGTGCGTCTATTGGTGATGTTTAAATGGGTTGGACATTTGTCTGCGTCGGTGTACTGGGCCTGGTCTGCGGTGTTTGCTCTCTTAATCCTTCAGGAGTTTATTACAAATGTTTTATTATTCGAGTAGTCGATAGACGGTTTAGTGCTCCTCTTATTTGCTTAAGTTGTTTTTTTTTTCACCGGTTTGACGCTTTTTTTTTGCCACCCTGCAAATGTTTAGGAAGCGGTAAAGTGTCCCCAGGGGGAGCACAACCTGAAGATTCCCGAGGGAGGTATCTGACCCCTACGTGGTATTGCCCAGAATACTCTGCAGGTGAGAATCAAGACGCGTTCCCAGCGCGTCGGGTTGCCGAGAGTCTCGACCAGCAGGGAAGTCTGGCCACCCGGCCTGTCACCCCTCCTCCATCTGACAGCGAACTCTGGCAACGATTTTATATGTGTTTCTCCCAAAACTCTCAAATCGGTTTTTCCTGCATCAACCAGTCGCCCCCCCCCCCTTCCCCCACAGGTCAAAGTGTCCCGTACGTGTTGTCCTGTGAGACTATACCCCTCCACGACCCGGGTCACAGGTGCCGTGGGCTTGATTTTTTTTTTCTTTATACCTTTCTTGCTTCGTTCCCCTTCCCCTCTCTTTTCCCTTACTCTAGTTGTGTCCCTGATTGTACGGTTAGGTTGGGGGGAGATTTCACCCCGGAAAACTACTTTTGGTTTCGCGCTGTCTCTATTTGTCGATTTTCTATGGTTTTTCAAAATTAGATTTAAAAATTTTTTTTTTTTTTTTTATTTAATAATATTTTTTTTAGATAGGTGCTTCAATTTAATGACTCCTTACGAAAAATGGTTTTGTTGTATTATCGACGGTTGATTTATTATGAATTTTTGAAGTTTACAGAGTTTGGAATTTAGATCCTGTGAAGAGTTAACTGACAATGGTTTTGGTTTCTCTTTCGGTTTCGGTTTCGACTCTCCCTAAGTCCAGCTAGATCGGGCAAGTGAGCGCGCCAATATGGCGCCCGTTGCGCCAAGATGGCGCCCTCCTCGGGGTCGCCTTCCCTAAGTTTGTGCCTTTGCCAGGGGGGGGAAGGAGGGAAAGGGAACGCGGCGCAAAGCGGAGGCTGCCATATTAAAACCGCTTACGTTGCCAGCATAGGTTTTGCAGCGAAGAAGTAGCTGCCATATATGGCGGACTGAGTTTTACTTTCTTTTTCGTTTTGGAAAGAGAATGTATTGTTGTGTTACATAAGTCCTCCTGCATACAGACAACGAAGTTTAATTATATTTGTCTTGTTTACTTGGTTTGAAACCCTAACAACGGGTTTTTGACGACTTATTGCTTCCATCATTGTGGAGTACGCAAGGCAGTTATCTCGCTGTTCTCGTTTCGGTTACGAAAGCAAGGCAAAACGCTCGTAGTTCCCGCCCTCAATACACGTTGGGGACCCTCCACACTTTGACACCGGATAACTGGATGAACAAGGATTTACATTTACTTCAGAGGTCACTTTCGCCGCTTCCTCACCGTCGAGATCAACAGCCTAGAGCCACTACAACAGCTCAAGTGCACTCAGTGCCGATGCGGGCGACGCGGGCTTCTGTCAACCCAGGGGTGGACCCAAAGGGGGGGGGGGGGGGGGGGGGGCCGCTTTCCTCAAAACAGTCGCCCCCCCCCCCCCCCCCCCGCCCCCTTCTCGGAGAGCGATTTGACATGGGTGGATCCCCCGAAATAAAACCGACTACGACTAGAAGGCTCGATCACCTCGATACTCAAGGACGAGGGTTCGAAATAGGGTAGGTCGCACCCGAGCAGGCACAGGTGTACTCTGAACTTGGAGAACCACCCCGTCACTTCAACCGAGACTGAAGTCCGCGGCGGCGGTTTCAAAGCACGGCTTAGAACCAAAAGTCGGCGCAGCGGCGCACATCTATAGGGGCCGTCGGCGCAATGTGGCTCTGCGGCGGTTCAAACAAAAGGCGCAACCGGAGTCCTGTTTATCTTGCTTTAGATTTTCCCTCCCCTCCTCCCCCCCGCCCCACACACACACACACAAAAAAAAAAGGAGTTCTGGATTTGCCTTTAGGTCAACCGGTAGTCCATCGCAAACCGTGAACGTTCCAGCTCTTCGTCATGACACGGTGTTGCAGAGAGCAGGGTAAAATACAACTATACTCTGTTTCACCTTATGATGTACCGCAGTTAAAGGTACTACAAGCTCGAGCTCCTTGCTCTAGGGGACATCTCGGCGGCACAAGCTCCCGTGCGTTAAGAGCAGCTCCCAACGCTATGAGCTCGCGCTTCTAGCCTTCGCTGCGGTACAACATAAGATGAAACGGAGTATATACGGACCACCGAATCAAATGCACTGTTATCGTAAATCTTGGCATGTGATTGCGCCTTTGCAGATCATCTTATTCGTTTTGCTGGAGAGACGCAACCGACGGGCATAACGAAATCGTTTGCGTATTCCGCATACCTCGCAAAAGCACTTACCCAGTCACCTTGCGAAAAGCGCGAAACACGGAGTCCGCACCGCCCTGATTTACCAGTCTTTTACCTGCTTTAGAGCAGTTTGTACCTGCTAGTATAGGTATGTCTACTGAAACTGCAACTTGAAACTAGGGGCAATGCCAGAGAGAAAATAGACAAAGTTGGGAAAGCATATGCTCGCTCTCCCCAATTGCTGAACTCTCAAGTGATTGTAGCATAATAAATTCACCAACACCTCTTTCCAAAATGAAGAAAAAACGCTATGTTTACTACGTAAAAGATGGTCTCAGTTCATGCATCCGTAGGCAGGTAGGAAACGTTGCCTCACACCGCATGATAAGCGCAACAAACTCACACGAGATTTACGAGAAAATATCGATAGTGACTTAAGTTTCCCTGAAATTATGTATGACCGGTCGTTTGCAGGACCGAATCATCTACTCGGGCGGTGTGCGTCGCTGTGCAAACGCCAACAACACGAAGCATAAAAACAGCAGGTCTAGGACAATAATCCGGAGTCCACTGTTCAATTAAAACGACGCAATTTTGTTGAAAACGCCCGCAGCTTTTTACTCACGGTATGCGTCGAGAATCTCCCACATTTTGAAACGGAACGAAGGAAGATTTACTTTTAAAAGCGCTCGCTGTGTCCTCCCGGACCAGCTGGACCGGATCAGCTGACGACGACGGGGCTGAACCCGTTGAATTTCAACCCCACAATAACCAATTTGCGCTTCGTGTTAGTATGGGCTTTTACCTCCAAGCACCGCACCACACACCACGAACGTTTCAACTCTTTGACGCATCGCCGTGTTGCACCACACCTATCTCTATGCACAAAACAGAACGAGATCGCCGAAGTCAACGGAGCGCTGTCGTGAACCTTGGCTTGTGGTTGCGCACTCGTGGGCCCTGTGACTCCCTTCGCTTTCAAAGCACACACGACGATTACGAATGATACTCTCCGTCTTCCGGGACCATCACAGGGGCACTTCTCCGGTCACGTCTTCGCTACATGTGCTCGCAAACCGCGTCGCTACATGTGCTCGCAAACCGCGTCAAACCAAAACAACACCGCCGCCGCCGCCGCCGCCTTGTTGAACGTGCGTTGTTGCTAGATTTTCTCCGACCAAACAAAAACAACGAAAGCAAACCGGCTCTAGCTTCCAGCGTACATCGGCGCTGCGCCGTGGCCAGATTTTCTCCGTCAGCTCTAACTTAAAGATGACCTACAGATGCAGCAACACTGGTATCAAGTTTTAACATGGCGGCCCCCACGGAGCGCCGTAAATTCTGAGGAGGGTGCATTGGAAGCGGCGGCACCTTCCCCCCCCTGGCCTTTGCCCGTCCTGTCTATCCGCAGTTTTTCGCCCGGCTTAGTTTCCGATCGTCCTCCTTGGGGTTCCTAAGGGGGAGGAGGTGCCCTTATTTTCCCTCTAGGGTGAATGGTTTTCAAGGTATAGTGTTGTGTGGCGTTTCGGTTTCGTATTGGTTTCCAATGGGTGGTGGGCTTAGCTGATCTCGAGGTTTCGGTTTCGGTTTCGATTTCGGTCTTGATTAGATATTTTGCGTAGTTCGAACTATCCTCCCCAGGTGACCTTAGTTGTTGCCGAATACGGAGTTTCTAATTAGGGCGTTTTCGATTTATTTTTCGGCCAGATTAGTTTCCGGTCGTGTTCCTCTGGGTTTCTAAGGGGGAGGAGGTGCTTTTATTTTCCCTCTAGGATAAATAGTTTTCGAGATATAAAGCAATTTATAGGGCAGTTAGGTTTCCTGTGGGTTTCAAATGGGTTTTAGGCTTAGATAATCTCGAGTTTTCGGTTTCGGTTTAAATTTCTCTTTCCTAGACCTAGACCTAGACCTCGGGTGGGTTTAGCAAGATGGCCGCCTCCAGCGGGTTTTCCGGTTGCCGTTAGGTTCTAAGTCTATGCTTCCTTATGGCGGAAAGCACATGTTGGTGATTTCTACGTTTAATTGAATAACTTCGGGAGCACTGGTCGGATTTGGGAAATAATTATATTTTTGGATTCTCTGGAGCGTGTGTTTTAAAACGGTATATTATTTATATAGGTTTCGGGTAGTTTACGGGTTGGATGAAATGGATTAAAATGTTATGTTAGGAAAGCACATGGGAATGCTATTGTATGTTTAATGTAGTAACTTTGCGAGTTTTTGTCTGATCTAAGAAATAATGGTGGATTTGGGTTCTCTAGGTCTTGTACTTCTTTAAAATATATAAATTAGTTTGGTTAGGGCCTGCTGTTTTTAGGATTAAAATGGATTAGGATTTCTGCTTAGGGTTAACCCTATCTTCCGCGTCTCCACTTCGAATTTTTGAAAGGTTATTTCTCGGTATCTAGTTTAGCTAGAACAATAAATTTGGTATCTTTTTTTCGGTCTCGGCGTGGAGAATCTTATGCGATAATTTGA